GACTAGAATTACTGGTCACATCGCATTTCGAAATTCTCAAATGCATTGTTCAAGAGCTATGAAGAAAAACTTAAAACAATTCTCGCCGTCTGTCTTAATAAAGAATGTTCAGCCAAGATTAATTATCCCCATGTTATAACAATACTTGGCTAATTTAGTATAGCTCTCCTCGACCTAGCCCATCAAACTCTCTAATGTGCATACTCTGGCCTTTCAATCCCCCGACCACTCCGTACTCTCGACGGACGTAGTTAATGATGTCCAAAGTTCTATAGATTGTTCATGGATCTTGATACTTGTGCATATCTATTGATCAATAAACCATGCATGAGCTTGCATGTGATCATTTCAACGAATTCTCACTTCACAAGTATGTTCCATGTAAATTTATGAACTCCAAATAACTCATTCGTATCCATCTTAGTCACTCACAAGCCCCAACAGCAACTGTTGTCGACACATAAAATTATCAACAATGGCTTGTTTGATTTACTTTACCTTAAACTCAAAGTTGTATTTTGATATTATCCGGTTCACAACTTCCTGTAAATCTTTCTTTGTTCCAAACAATTGCTCAACATACAAATCCTCACACATAAAGAATTAGAGGATTATCCACTCGATCAAGCCCCTAAGCTCATACCCCGATCATGTCTCTGACAAAATAGAGCAATCAAATCATCATTTATAAATTCATTTTCATTTTCGTTGTTGTTATATATCGATGAAATTTTGTATGTAGCAGGGAAATCACGATGAGAAGCAACTGTCTCGAGAATAATCACATCATCATCACAAGTTATCTCTACTGTGTCCCAAAAATTAATGGCGTTGTCATTCGTTCCATCCGAATTTTTGTGTTCACCTTCGGTGATATCATTCCTCACTAAAGTCATGCAAAGAAGAGTCGTGTGCCTTTTGTTCAATTCAAATAGATAATTCACTTCAGCATTAGAAGTAACCTTCGTAGGTGGAATCGAATGAACGCTTGTTGAATAGAATCTCAGTTCCATATCATATTGAGAAGAATTGACATTCAGCGTGTTTTGTAAGTCATGGTACATTCCTGCATACGATGTACTCTCTGTTATGAAAATTGAAATAACACCACGTATATCACTCATCCATTTTCATATCCATCGATCATTTTCATTCAATTTTAAATCTCCAAAGTAACAAACCGAGATTACAACCATATCTGCATGACAAAAAAGAATTTTTAATTATAAGAAAAAAATAGTTAGAAATTCGACTTGACAATAGTGGCAACAGAAATTTATGAATAAACAAATTAACATACGGCTATTACACAGCCAGCTTACTGTCCGGCTGTATAACTGGCTTTTATGATCGATTATTTAACGATCGGTTGTATTGTGTCGATCTAAAAGAATTCATTATATAGATGAATTTTTTTCTTATTCATGCTCAAAAATTTTTATATTTGTTAAAAAATTTATCTGCATGTTAATGTATGTCAAAATAAGATTTATCGATTAAAAATGTATACTAATTTAACGAAAACGAAATTAAACATACGTAAATATACTTATTGATTTGAAGTAATTGATATAAAAAAATATTTTCTTGTTCAACATCGGATAAATTTTTAAGATTTTGAAGTTGAAGAAGATTCAAGATGAGAGAGATTTTATCTATATTAGAATAAATAGACAAGAAAAGTTAGCTTATATTGAAATTTTAAGTGGGAAGTATCTAGTTTTCACTTACTAACTAAACATGTAGTATTGTCTTTTAAACAAAATAATATTTTGTAATTGCATAATATATTTAAGGATATATTTATCTTTTACTATCCAACAGATCATTGTAAAAATATGATATAGTTGAAAAGTCAAAGCGGAAATAAGGGATTTGATCAGATTAATTTTAAAAGTATCCCCATATCAATGAACCCTAAAGGCAACTTTAGAATATTGCTTCAATAGGCCCAATGCCAACTAAGGACGTCAAATAGGATGAGCCACTTGTTAGCCCAGCTTCTCCTGAAAGCAAATGGGAGGACGAGCCGAGTTGACATTTTTCCGTGCAAGCCACTGACATTGGTGCGGAGGAAAAGCAGTTCCCTATATGATAGGTGACACTTTTGCAAGTGATTGCCATCAAAGAAATAAGATGTTGATTGTAAAAATAAATCAATGGGACAAGTAGCTCGTGAGCTAGTTCAAATCACTTCATCAGTAGAATGAGCCAAGTCGAAATATTTTTAAACAAGCTGGCTCATCTCAAGACAAGCATGAACATCCTACTCCCTGCCAAAGAAAGGAACACATCGCCATGGATTGAATATGTAGAGCCAACTTGCCTACTTAACGACAACACAAGCAACTCATGTTTGTCTACCATTCATAATCTTATTATATATGATCAAATCACTTTTGATCTATATATTTCGTAAGCTTACGAGTACTATCTACTTATTTACCATTTATTTCTGTCTATTTATAATTTAGCCCCATGTTTGGTAAGAAATTAAAATTCTAATTTTAATCTAAATCAAAGTTAATAACTAATTTTAATCACACATTTTATGGGATCAAAAAAATTCAATCACATATTTTATCAACTTTTATCAAAATTTACTAAAAAATTGATTTTAATTTTCACCAAACATGGACTTAATCTATTTATAAACAACTCCCAAACTTGCTAGAATTGAATGTATTCAAACTTGGCCGCCATAGATCAACATTTGTTCTCCTCCTACCCTAATTCTTTTTTACAGGGTAGAAACTAAAATAAAAATTCTCAAAATTACTGTTTAAATTCTTTACCAGTTGCCATAACATTTAAGATTCAGTGAATCTGCAAAGAAAGCCTCTAGTTCCATTAAATTTTTTGAAACAAACTATTAATTATGCCCTCGTTTGATCCTCATTTTCATCCTACTAATGCATTTTCATGTCAAATCATGGTGGGCCCGGCTACATGGCTATCATTTCAAATGTATAAAAATTACCACACCTTTCCCATTTTACCCTCATTGAATTGGACAAAAAGTAGGAAAGATTTCAACAGTCTTTCAATATTCAAAGGGCATATGTGGGAAAATGGGATAAAAACTACAGTAAATGGGACTGCACTGGAGGACCCATGGTGTCAGACTAACGTTCGATTTTCTCATTTTAGTCAGGCAAAAATGTGGAACAAACACACGCTATATATTAACCAAAGTTCCAATTATAACCTAAGGGTACATTGGAGAAAAAGAAACGAACTGAGTCAAGAATAGAAAAATGTTAAGTCTAGCGAAGACTAAAAGAGTCAAGAATGTGGGCCCAGTTTTTGTAAGATTTTCCAAGTCAAGAGTCAAGAATGTGGGTACCTCAATTAATCAAATGAAACATCTGCCTTTTTTTCTTTTTTATTTTTTTATTTTTTTTATTTTACTTTTATTAAATTTCATGATAAATAAAAACAAGTGGACTACACGGTTTTCTTTGTATCTTGATTTTTTTTTTTTTTTTTGTGTGTAATCTTCTATCTGGACAATCTTGACAATGATATAAAATAAAAGAATAATTAAGTTGCAAATTACATTCTAGTGTTTCAAATAAGCAATTATTGATCAACCATTGTGATTCGAAAAAATGAGATTAAGTAATGTTTATGTTAACTATGCTCTTGTTTGATCCCAATTATTTTTAAAATATATTATTCTCTATTCTTTTCATTTCAATAAAATATTATTTTGCCCAAATTAAATTATTTTTTATTTTATTTTATTTTTTTTTACTTTTAACCACACAATCTCTATCAATTTACTATTTCAAAATGCATTTTTTTAATAAAAATGGGCTCAAATATGAGTCTAGAATTTTCATGAACTTTGCAAACATAGGTAGACATATTACATAAATTGAAACAGAAATGAAAGTTTAATAATTTGGGAAAAATATATATGATGACTAGTAAAAATGCCTTTTTAAAATGATAAATAGATTGTTTTTCACTCGACAAAATATGCAATCAATAGATTGTCTAAAACAAGGGAAGAATAATTTACAATTATTGTAAAACGAATAACTTTCAAAGCTCAAAAAGACTAGATTGATTTTCTTTCTTTTTCTCATGACTTTAGTTATTTTATTTGTCCAAGGGAGTCAAAATTCTATAATAACTTGTAAATGAAGACCAAGTCATGGTAAGAAATTATTTGCAAGTATTGAACTCAACCCCAAAGGGTTATATTCACAATCCCGCGTAGTATATCTTGTTTCATTATTATAAATATGACAAACGATATTTACTGAAATAAAAATTTCTTCTATTCTATTGTCAAATTAAATAATGAATTAAGATTTGTTGTCCCAAACTTGTTATCCTCTAACACATTTTTAATGACTTAACCTCCCATCACTTCTTATCAAATGAGGAAGCGTTAACATGATGACAATGTGTAATACATTGATGTGTCAAAAAAGCCCAAAGTCGCTACCTTAACCTGCAAGGAGGATGATGCAATTACAAGACTAGTGACCAGAGTGAAGTAGTAACAAAGTAGTCATGCTGTAAGGCGCGCCTTGGTCACCTCATTTTTAGGGAGAGCTAATGCTTTGGGTCATCTGATCTGAGTGGATGACGTTTCGTATGTTGACGTCTTTCTATGTGTTAAGAATCGATATGTGTACATGTACTAAAGAGATGAGCATGAAAATATCAAATTCTGGACACTAGACATGAGCCGTATACTATTACAACCCATTTTTATTTGTTAGTACGACTAAGTCAAGAGGTTTAAATTTCTGACCACCACTTTTTCCTAGAAATTTAAAGCTTGAAAAGAAATTGAAATACAATGCTATTGGAAATTCAAGAGAAACAGATGGCGACAATAGTGTCATGTGCTGTCCATGTTCCGACAGCGCTATAAACGCGTGATATGAATTAAAGTCACTCTCTCTTACTCTATTGTTTATCAAGACTCATTCTTATCGGTGCCCCTACATAAACTAAGGTCTTTCTTGACTTCTTGTTTATAAATAAACTCTCCCATGGTATAAGTTTGCATGCCAAAATTCTGAAAGAAACAAACATTTTCTGAACAACTTAAAATACCAATGGATGAATCAACATCGGAGCTTAGGTTGCCAGGTTTCAGATTTCATCCTACTGAGGAAGAACTTCTCAGTTTCTACCTTAAAAATATGGTCCTCCGGAAAAACTCGCGCAGTGCCAATATCATAGGTTTTCTTAATATATACCATCACGACCCTTGGGATTTGCCAGGTAACTAAATAATGATTCTGTCTTTCACTTTCTTTGTTTCTAGTTTATTATGTTATGCTTGGTTATCAAGTTGTTATAAGCCCACAAGTCGAGCCTTGATTTAGCAATGTGAGACAGGATTTCTCTTTCTGCAACAAGCGGACATCTCAAGAAGAGTGTGTGCATGTTTCATTTTAAAAAATAATGGTTTTGATTTGGTTGAAACAGGGCTGGCAAAAATTGGGGAGAGAGAATGGTACTTCTTTGTGCCAAGGAACAAAAAACATGGGAGTGGAGGGAGGCCTAACAGGACAACTCGAAATGGGTTTTGGAAGGCAACAGGCTCTGATCGTAAAATACTAAACATTTCTGATCCAAAAAGAATGTTGGGTCTAAAAAAGACACTTGTGTTTTACAATGGGAGAGCACCTCGAGGACTAAAGACTGATTGGATCATGAATGAATATCGCTTACCAGATACATGCGACATCGTATTGTGTAAAATTTATAGGAAGGCAACCTCCTTAAAGGTGATGGAGCAGAGGGCTGCAGCAATGGATGAGCAAGTAAAGCCAGTTCTACCCCTAAACCCGCCCACTCCTTCCATGGACACCATGTTAGAGTGGGAATATAGTGATGTATCGGAGAAACGTTTAACAAAGATGTCGAGTAATGGTATAATGTTGCCAAATGGTGAAGAGAAAGTAGAACATCTCCAACTGCCCAAATTGACCACGGACTGGAATCTAGACTCTTTCTGGACACAATTTCATAGCCCTTGGCTTGACAAATTTAACACCTTTAGCCAATTTGTGGAATTTTTGAACTAATATCTTGTCCAAGGTTTGTAAAAGATTTACTTCCCATTTCGAAAAACTATGAATTAACATTTGGTTTTCCTGGTGGCATTGATGTCGACACTGTAACGTGCCCAAAAATTTTCGTATTTATTATTATAAGTACAATTTCGTGTTGCAATTAGATAAAATAATTTACATATTTCAATTTGGGAAAGGAATAAATCGATAAAGATGTCTAAATTCCTTATGAACTGGGAAAATGAAAGATCGTGGCTCTTTCAAAAGCCCCCATTGGGTCAACCTTAATAAGGATGTGATGTATTGGGCTGTACAATGGATCAATTAGGCCTGAAAACTTTGGGCTAATAAAATTTTGGGAAAAATTCATAATCAAGAGCAAAAGTATAGCCCATTTCAATAATAAAAGAACAAGTTTGAAATTTCACATATCAGATATTCATACATATATATACTAATATATTTGACAAAAAATTGGATACCAAAAAATCAGCGCAACTTACCAAAATAGCCAACTCTCCATACATTACAATTCATCCCCTAGTTGATGGTAAAAGTCACAAAGATTTGAAATTGGCTATACAGTGTGCCAGAGCTCTCTCACACATTCCTGGTCACAATTTGCAGACATACGATCACATTACATCAAAATAATCAGATGAGTCGTTTAAACAGATGCTGATACGTCATTAGAAATTGAATTCAGAACGTTCATATTGACCAGGTATGTAATTATGATTAATTAAATCCAATTTGTCGTTTCTTCTTACTACCTAAGCATCCATCAATCAAATTACGGTTGTATGCAACGAACGATTACATTATGATGGACAATAAGTGAAAAATTGATGTAACTATTTAAATAAATAATCGGGCAACATATCTCATCTGTCTGGGAGTTGTGGTCGTGAACAGGACGCAGTGATATTCGAAACGTGTTGTAACTGTTATACATAACTTTTAACTATTTAATTAGTGAATGTAACTCTTTGTTGTCATGGTGTGTGGGTGTTTGTGTGCCACATGTGAAAAATCTATCCAATGAATAGTGACATGTGCTGTGACCATTACAAAAGAACTTCCGACTTCATAATCAAAATCTGTAACTTCGGCAACTTAAACATCTAGGTGTTGTGTGACACTTGTGAAAAAATTTGTGCCACCCGTGCCGTGACAATTATACCGTAGTGTGTCATTTTTTCCATTGAATCTATGAAATGTGATGTTACTTGTATTGCTTGAATCTAATCATATACAATCCACTCTTTGTTACTGTAACAATATTCTTCATGTTTTGTAATTTAGTATGAACATCTGACCTGCATCTAATCAATATGTGACCATGATAGACATAGCTTTGACATGCGTTTGTTGTGATTGAAATTGGATTTGTGATTGATTATGTTTCGGTTCATATTGCAGAAATGAGATTCGTTCACGTTTGTTTGTTGAATGACTCACAAATGTCGTTAGTGTTGATTGATTGCAATTACGAGTATATGAAGCTTGTTGATACAGTTATGACAGAGTTTGGTTTGGACCCTGCAAAGGTGACTGTGACAATAAAGTATATATTGAATAGTGATATGCCTCTGATAACAATTAAAAGTGACAATAATGTGTTGTCATACATGGTTTTTGAAGGATATGAATCGTGACCCTTCTAAATATCCAATACACATTGAGGTCACAGCTATAGATAGCCAAAATAGGCCTACCGCGATATCAGTTGCTATTCAATCTAATGAACATGGTTTTTCATTAACAGATATGATATTAAATATATGTGGAGCAATATTAAAGCCGTCAAGTGACACGTTTGAATATAAGGTCACAGTTGTGACGGTCGCAGATGCTAGGGATGTAGAGGAATGAATGGTTTTTCATAACAAGGAGATTATGAAATTGAGCTTGTTGTTTTATGCAATCTAGCATATGTTTGAATATGTGGTCATTTGGTCAATAAGAAAGATTATAATGTTTACATGACGAGTGTAGTTGGATATGCAGAGCATCGAAGTTAGTCAAAACAGATATGTTTAAAATCAAACATATCATGGCTACGAACATCATACTCAGTACTCATAGTCAAGTAACAAAGACAGTTGTGTTATCCTGCATTAAGTACAAGTACACATTGTCACACAATATATGCATGTCGAAAGGTATACGCAATGACATGCTCATACATATGGAGTATTGTTGAACTATGTCAAGGTTTGGCGATCTTGAGAAGAAACTTTAAAAATGCTAAAGGGTAATCCAACTGATTTGTTCAGTAAGATACGAAGATTCTTTTCCATGTTGCAGCAAACAAATACTAGAATGGTCACAAGCCTAGAAATTGATGGTCACGGTAGGTTTAAATATTTCTTCATGACACTAGGTGCTAGGGCTGTAAGCAAAAACCGTCAAACCGAAAAATAGAATCGAAACCGCATTTTAGAAACTGTCGATTTGGTGCCACCTGAACCCGGTCAACGAAATGGTTTTGACCCAAACCAAACCGGTCAAAATGGTTTGGTTTAGGTTTGATAATTTTAATTGTGATTTAAAACTAAACCGGACTGGTGAAAAAATATATAAAAATAAAAAAAATGAAAAAATGAAATTTTTTGAAAATTCATCCAAATATTTAAAATTCAATAGTTTTGTCATTTGTAGGTATTTTTGTCAATTTTTAATTTTCTAATACAGATATATTATTATTATTATCCAATAATCATAATTTATATCTAATAATCTCAAGACTAACATAATCTATCAAAAGTCATTTTCCTCTTTAAAATTTAGATGACCTCCAGCCGACATCCAACATAGGCTTGACCCTCCGACACCACATCTTTTTTAGATTTTTCACGCCTCTTCAAAGTTAAATTGAAATCCATTAGAGACAAAGAGATATTACACCTTCAGTGATAATAATTGTTATGAATAAAGTTTCAGATCAATAATTTTTTTGGAGCAAACTAAGGTAAGAATTTGAAATTAAATGCGTTTCGTAACATAATACAAATATAAACTTGTGTAATTGTTATGTTTAGATATTATAAACAATTGCTTTATTAGTGTGGTTGGTTATTTTCTTTGTCTAATCAGTATCATTTTTTCAGATATGATGATCACGAGGTTTTGTTGGACATCATTATATTTTTTAGCCTTATATCTAGTTTAGTAGACTTGTATTGTAATGTTATTGTATCGTCATTAGCCTAAAAAATATGAACAAAAATGAAAAAAACTATGTTTTAGTTTATTGTGATTTCACTTTGATTTAGTTGGTATTTAAATTTTTAGTACATATATTTAGCTCTGTTTGAGCTATATTTTTCATATCATCATAATGAGAAAATTGACCGTCGGAGAGGAAGCTGGGTCCCACACATGAAACAGCAGGTCAACAAAGGTGGCTGAACTTGTGGGATAACGGTCCAAATTTTCATTTTTTTGTCCCAAAAGTTTTGTTCAAACAGGGGCTTAATTTGGTTTAGATTTATTGCTCGTGAGATATAAATATATATTGAATTCAATGAATTAATGACATAAAAGTAGACGGGCAAAAAAAATATGGGGAAACCAACAATTTAAAATCGGACCAGACCGTTAGGTTTAGGTTTGAGTTTTTTTCAAACCGTTCAAAATGGTTTGATTTAGGTTTAGGTTTTTCTCAAACCGGTTTAAACGATTTGGTTTGAAAATTTGTCAAAAACCGGTAAAATTGGACTGCTTACACCCCTACTAAGTGCGTCAATATGGGGATGAAAATATTGTAGGCCAGTTGTTGTGGTTGATAGCACATATCTAAATGGACACTATGGTGGGACCTTATTCAAGGCATGTACTTAAGATGTAAATAACATCATATTCATACTTGCTTTGGGGATACGAGAACGATAACTCTTGGTCATGATTTTTTGGACAGTTAAAGAAAGCCTATGAGGATAAGAAAGATTGAGCTTTGTATCAGATCGTCATAACAGCATCAAAGAGGCAATTAAAAACGTGTATCTATAAACTTGTCATGAGATTTTTTTTACCATCTTCTACAAAATCTGAAATCGCATTATAGAAGATGGGGTCAAAACATAACACAAGCATTCAATTCTGCTGTTCGGGCTTACACATTTTCGATATACAAATATAACATGCAACAGCTCGTTGCAATTAATGAGAAGATAAGGGGTTACCTTGTAATATACTATAATTTATCGGCAATCTATATTCATTTAAATAAATTTATTATCATCCTGTACACTGTATGATATATGTCTCCATGTTTTTATTTATATGATGGTATTGGACCTAAGAGATGATCACGTTTCAACATGCCTTCGAACTTGTGTTCGGCAATGACATCAAATACAGTGGAGTCAGTTAATGCGGTTACAAAGTTTGACAAGAACTATGCTATTTCAGCTTTTTTGGAGTCGTCGTGACAAATTATACAATTTTGGTTCTGTAGACACAGAGAGACTACGAAAGGCACTTTTATGACCTTGTCAAGCAAGTATGAGAAGTAGATGAAAGAACAGAGCACATATATGAAAAACTTGAGGGTAATGTCAATTGCTGTGACTTAAACTATAATCTGTAACTTTCGATATCAATTCTGTGACCTAAGCTATCTGATAATTCTAGTTTTTGTCTTATAAATGTGCTTTGACCATTTTCAGGATCTGTGATTTGTGTTGTAACCTGTACTATGATATTTGTTTAATATTTGTGCAATGTAATATACGTATGTGACATGTACTTTCATTCGTGTCCTAAAATTTGTTTACATGACTTATTGTATATATAACTTGCATCAATAATTGCAGATTTCTCCCATTAATCAGGCAATGTTTTCAGTTAGTGGTGAAAGTTTATCTTTCGTTGTTGATATAGAAAAACGGACATGCACTTGTAGGATGCTTGAAGTTGATCAACTATCTTGTTCACACTCTTTGCCCGTGTTTGCAAGTATGAAGATAGATCCATATGAGTACTGTTCTTACTACTGCACAAGTGAAGCACACAGAAATGTATATAAGAAACCATATTTCTCGTTTGAGATCTAACTGAATAGATAGTGTCAGATGAAGTCCATGACATAGTTACACTAACATTTAATCAAAAACGTAGTTGTGGAGGGCCTACTGAGAAGAGATTCCAATCAGC